GTGATAGTCGTGTCTAAGCATGGAGACTTAGACACAATATATACTTTGGAAGCTTCTGTGGCTCTGATTTTTTGCAATTGGGCCTTTCTGGCAGAGCTGGACCCTCCTCCTCTGGCAAATCCTCCAGATATCACTCTGATCTCCCCCATAGGTTGCTGGTGTGGCTCTGGTGCTTGAGGCTGAGGGGGTGGAGGTGGGAGAACTTGGTTTTGATTATCATTGGTCATATAGCGTCGTAGCTGTCCTCGCTGGATTAGAAATTCTATTTCCCTCTTCAATTGGATACAGTCGTCGGTGTGATGACCGTGGTCTCTGTGGAAGTCACAATACTTCGTAGGATCCTTTTTTGCTGGGTCTGCTTTCATCCGGGATGGCCACCTTAAGAACTTCTCTTTTTTGCGCCTCATATAGTATCTGAGACACTATAGCAGTCAGGGGGGTGAGCTGTCGGGGTGCATACCTTGGTTATAGCTCTGGTTGTGGAGGGCCGAGGCGATCCCTGATATTTTCTCTTCTCTTCGGGAAACGTTCTCTGTCTCTTCTTGGAGACCTGCCTCGTTCTCTTTCCTTTCTAGGACTTCGTTCTCTCTTCCTTNATATTTTCTCTTCTCTTCGGGAAACGTTCTCTGTCTCTTCTTGGAGACCTGCCTCGTTATCTTTCCTTTCTAGGACTTCGTTCTCTCTTCCTTTCTTCCTTCCCTTTCTCCTTTCTCGACGAAGAGCTCTCGACCTTGGAGAGGAGCGCTTCCTCACCATTTATGTATTTTTCTACTTTGGTGAGCACCTCCGTCATACTAGCCTAGGGGTTCTTTGAGATGGAAAACATCAGATCTTTTGACTAAACTCCCAGACCTGCTATGAAGGCTGTAATAGCAAATTTTTCGTCTGGGACATCTACCTCCAAGGATTCTGAGTTGAGTCGTTGGACATAAGACCGTAGGTTCTCATCGGGTTCCTGTTTCACATTTAACAAATGGTAGCTCGATTTCCTATAGGTCCAAGCTCCGATGAAGTGGGACACAAATGAGATTGATAACTCTTTAAAAAAAAAAATTGAGGCTGGGGGGAGTCTGTTGAACCATGTTAAGCCTGAGCCCTTCAGGGTGATAGCAAAGGCCCTGCATCTTACTGGATCTTGATATCCATGCAACTCCATTTGATTTTTGTAGGTGTTGAGGTGGTCCACGGGATCGTTTGTCCCATCGAAAGCATCCACCTACGACATTCTAAATTTATGTGGGAGAAGGAAATGCAACACCCCAACAGTGAATGGGGATTCGGTTTGCTGCACCAAGGCATCCATAGTGACTAGGGTCCTGCTCTTCACTGCCTCCTTCATCTGGCTAAACTCTTGCTGGATATTTTTGAAACGTTGTTCTTAGTGGTGTTCTCTTCTCTCCTGTTAATAAGGGAAGAAGTCGCTCCTCTCCCCTTTCTTATACTGACTTTGCACTTCCTCGTTGTGACCATTTCTATTAGGTAGGCGAGGTTCTTGCCCCAAGGTCTGACTATTCTCTCCCACCTCATTAACTTCTCTAAGGGGGTCGAGATGCGGTTGCTCTCTTGGTGGTGGGTTATTCTAGTCTCCTTGGGCCGGTCGTGCCTCCTATGGGCATTGTAGGAGTTTTAAGAGTTTTTCGTTCTATTTTATCAGACGTTCATTGACAAGACGAAGGGCCTCCATCTCATTATTNGCCTCCTATGGGCGTTGTAGGAGTTTTAAGAGTTTTTCGTTCTATTTTATCAAACGTTCATTGACAAGACGAAGGGCCTCCATCTCATTATTCATGGGAAGGCCCCCCATAGGGGGATCTGCTTCTTGAGCATTTTCGGATCGTCTGTTATTTGCGGCTTCCAGTTGATCTTGCATCCATAGAGGATTGGTCTGACTTCGGCTCATGTTTCGCGTTGATACCATTAGTCACTAAAAAATTAGTTTTATTCGTAACAGGAACAGTCGATCCCACAGACGGCGCCAAACTGATGGTGTATTTCAACGTGAATGAGCTTAAGGTGCAAGTAACATGAGATAAGCGTGGATCAGAGCTTCGAGACTCGTGTATGATGCTACGATAAAATATTCAGGGGATTAAAGGGGTGTACACAGTGAAAATATAGTGGTTCACTAGCTCGGGAACTCGGCTAATCTACTCTTCAATGGAGATTCTTGCTCCTTCTTTCACTATTTACTATACCAAAAGGTTTACAGACTGTAATATGTGATACTAGGGTCCTCCTTCCTCCTTGGGGGCGTTACATAGTATTTATAAAGCTGCTCCTTATTCAGTGAGACCTTGGTCAAGATTCTTGCCCTTATTTCGTGGGGTTCTCCTTAATTCTAGGAGAAGATCTTGGTTGGTTGAGATTAGGTGTCTTGATTATAGCTTCCTAACGCTTTAGGAACCTCTCGTGGTTATCTAACCGTTGTCTTGCCTCAAAAAACATTCAGCCCTTGCCTTCTGACCTCAGTTAATATGGNAAGGGATTAAAGGGGTGTACACAGTGAAAATATAGTGGTTCACTAGCTCGGAAACTCGGCTAATCCACTCTTCAATGGAGATTTTTGCTCCTTCTTTCACTATTTACTATACCAAAAGGTTTACAGACTGTAATATGTGATACTAGGGTCCTCCTTCCTCCTTGGGGGCGTTACATAGTATTTATANGTACACAGTGAAAATATAGTGGTTCACTAGCTCGGGAACTCGGCTAATCTACTCTTCAATGGAGATTCTTGCTCCTTCTTTCACTATTTACTATACCAAAAGGTTTACAGACTGTAATATGTGATACTAGGGTCCTCCTTCCTCCTTGGGGGCGTTACATAGTATTTATAGAGCTGCTCCTTATTCAGTGAGATCTTGGTCAAGATTCTTGCCCTTATTTCGTGGAGTTCTCCTTAATTCTAGGAGAAGAACTTGGTTGGTTGAGATTAGGTGTCTTGATTATAGCTTCCTAACGCTTTAGGAACCTCTCGTGGTTATCTAACCGTTGTCTTGCCTCAAAAAACATTCAGCCCTTGCCTTCTGACCTCAGTTAATATGGCTGACCTTTCGATCTAAGCTAAACTTCTGAGCTAACCTCAGTTACTTTAGGCTGACCTCAGTTACTTTAGACATCATCAGTGATAATAATTATATCTCAATAGCATTATTCATCTATTATTAGTAGTGCTTTGAAGCTTCAGACTCTGGAACAATATTAAATAAGGGAAGATTTTTACTGATCTCTCCCATATCNTCCGGTCTAAGCTGAACTTCTGAGCTAACCTCAGTTACTTTAGGCTGACCTCAGTTACTTTAGACATCATCAGTGATAATAATTATATCTCAATAGCATTATTCATCTATTATTAGTAGTGCTTTGAAGCTTCAGACTCTGGAACAATATTAAATAAGGGAAGATTTTTACTGATCTCTCCCATATCATTAATTCAGGCAAATGAAGGAAAAGGAGAAAACAGTTTATGAAGAAATTGTTCAATTATACGAGACATCACGACTGGGATCTAATTTTTAGTAAATTAGGCTAAGGTTATTTCTTGGGTGTGTAAATTAATTTTAAACCTACCAAATTTTTTGTATAAAAAAAGGTCATTCGATTTTTAAAAAACCTTGCATGCGGTCTCTATGTTGGCACAAATGTTAAGAGATTAGTTAGTTACTAATTTTTATTACTTATTTTGCACTCATTACACGATTTCGACTTAAAATATAATTAGCTTTTTTTTTTTTTTTTGGTGTTTGTTATTAAGGTTTTTTGCAGTGTTATCTATTAGTTTTCAAATTCAAACTTGTAAATTTGACAATTTTGACATTATGATGATGTCTGACGATGTATGTTTTTAATGTATTTATCTGATAATCTGTGTTTATGTAAAAGAAAGTATATTAACGATCTATGTTTTAATGTATCAATCAAATAATTTGTATTTTAGTGTACCTGTCTGACAATCTGTGTTTTAATATATCTGTTTAACGATTATTACGTATCTATTATTTTTTTGCTCGAAGGTGTGTGTGTATATATATATATATATATAAATTAAGACTATTACTATTTGAATATGTGGTTTCATTGTTCCTTTGTGTGAGCTATGCAACATGAGCTGACAGCTCTTCCTACTCCTACGTCCCCAACCGTTTCTCTGCCTATCGAGACTTGAATCCTCGAGAGAGGACAAGAAGATATCCCTGGGTTTAAATAAAGAATGGTTATTTGGACTTAATTTAAATATTTTATTTAGAGAGCTAATAATATACTATCATTGAATTGATCGTAGATTTTATTTAATATGGAAACTCACAATTAATTTAAAAGTTATTTTAAAATCATATCATTAGGTTCTCAAATAAGATTCCTATAAGATTAAAAAAATATTTTGTTTTTTAAAAATGTTATTTAGACCTTATTTAAAGACCTAATGATATACAACTATTAAATTGATTTCTACCATTGAAACTCATAATTAATTCAATAATTACATTAAAATTATATCATTAAGTTTATGAATAAAGTCCAATAAAATGGACTTTTTTGTTTTTTCCTGGGTCAAACTTCTTGTTCCCCTTGCAATAAGTTACTACGTTAGTCCACACTTTTTGTTGTTTCTCTCTGAAATGTCGAGGATAAGACATTAAGATTCTATGAGAAACAGACCCTAACCGATATAATCTACTCAAACAAGTTACAACTTGGCATTCCAATCAACAAATGCCCAGTAAAATGGCTGTTTTAGGACCATGACGTAAAACCTCTTGGCAAACATATTTATCTCTTAAACTGTTTTTTGGATATAAATTCAGGATCACCAACTGAGTCTGCAAATCTCTCTCTCTCTCTCTCAAACACTCGTACACACACACAAACATGGAGCATCTAGTAGCTCGTCCCAGCCGCCAACACTAGTGATCAGATAGCTCAGAACCACTACCTAATTACCTATTCTTCAAAGAATTTTTGCATCAAATCATAAGAAAGAGAGATCAAAGACCCAATTAATGCGACCAGTGGCAGAAGCACCGGGTGTTGAATTGGGCATCCATCTATCTCCTCTCATCTCGTTTTCAAGAGCAACACCACCAAAACCGGCAAAATGCGACGCCCGCACATGTCCCTGGTGGCCTTACTCCAACTCCAAGGAATTCAAAACAAATTCTGTCATGATCCTCACCATCCTCTTCTGTGCTCTCTTATCAGCTCTAGCTTTCAATGCTTCCATTCGCTATCTCCTGCGTCGTCGCCGCACAGTACACCATGGACCAGAAGAACAAGGGGTANATGGTTATTTGGACTTAATTTAAATATTTTATTTAGAGAGCTAATAATATACTATCATTGAATTGATCGTAGATTTTATTTAATATGGAAACTCACAATTAATTTAAAAGTTATTTTAAAATCATATCATTAGGTTCTCAAATAAGATTCCTATAAGATTAAAAAAATATTTTGTTTTTTAAAAATGTTATTTAGACCTTATTTAAAGACCTAATGATATACAACTATTAAATTGATTTCTACCATTGAAACTCATAATTAATTCAATAATTACATTAAAATTATATCATTAAGTTTATGAATAAAGTCCAATAAAATGGACTTTTTTGTTTTTTCCTGGGTCAAACTTCTTGTTCCCCTTGCAATAAGTTACTACGTTAGTCCACACTTTTTGTTGTTTCTCTCTGAAATGTCGAGGATAAGACATTAAGATTCTATGAGAAACAGACCCTAACCGATATAATCTACTCAAACAAGTTACAACTTGGCATTCCAATCAACAAATGCCCAGTAAAATGGCTGTTTTAGGACCATGACGTAAAACCTCTTGGCAAACATATTTATCTCTTAAACTGTTTTTTGGATATAAATTCAGGATCACCAACTGAGTCTGCAAATCTCTCTCTCTCTCTCTCACAAACACTCGTACACACACACAAACATGGAGCATCTAGTAGCTCGTCCCAGCCGCCAACACTAGTGATCAGATAGCTCAGAACCACTACCTAATTACCTATTCTTCAAAGAATTTTTGCATCAAATCATAAGAAAGAGAGATCAAAGACCCAATTAATGCGACCAGTGGCAGAAGCACCGGGTGTTGAATTGGGCATCCATCTATCTCCTCTCATCTCGTTTTCAAGAGCAACACCACCAAAACCGGCAAAATGCGACGCCCGCACATGTCCCTGGTGGCCTTACTCCAACTCCAAGGAATTCAAAACAAATACTGTCATGATCCTCACCATCCTCTTCTGTGCTCTCTTATCAGCTCTAGCTTTCAATGCTTCCATTTGCTATCTCCTGCGTCGTCGCCGCACAGTACACCATGGACCAGAAGAACAAGGGGTAGTAGATGAACAGCAATTCAAGCCAGACCTCTGCTCCCTGGCCACAATGGTGTTTTCTGCAGGGATGAATCTGGTAGGAGCAGAGGCAGAGTGCTCCATCTGCCTCTTGAGTTCATCGATGGCGAGGAAATTCGAGTGTTAGGCATCTGTAACCACGGCTTCCATGTTCAATGCATTCATACGTGGTTATCTTCCCGTTCCTCTTGCCCCACTTGCCGCGCTACTTGTTTCCCGCCTTCATCCTCCGATGAGATCACTGGTTGTCACCAAAGACATAACTCGTAAAGTGATACATCCAAATACCCATTACCCAGAGTCAGAGAGGTCCGGAGTAGCGGTTTGACTACTCCTGTACGTAAAATGTATCTATCTAGAGAAGTTGATGTTCTACTACTTGCACCCTGTTTCGGATTTTACTTCAAAGTTTTTCGGCTATAACTGTAGTTCTTACTAGTTTCTCAGGGAGTGTGGAATAGAAGGCCACCGGATCTTGACGATGAATGACGACCGAAATGAATAACATCAGTAATTTGAAAAGTGTGAAGCCCTTAGTTTGCGTTTTAACTAGCCCAAAAGTTAAGAATGAACCCCGCACCGCATTAAGTAAAGAATAAATAATTTCAACATAAAAAACAGATAGATAAGAATCATGAACACGTAAGTAACATCAGTCTCTCCTTTTTATCTCATGCTTACGCCCACTCTTGTAGCACTGCTGAGGTCTTCATAGGTAAAGAGCGAGTCATCTTGGGTCCTAGATTTCTTATTATGATCTTAACGGTTGAAATTTTTTATTACAATCTATCGCTTGACACATTATTAAAGGTGTGTTCGACGGTACCTTTAAATAGACTTTTTGAGTCCTAGAAGTTCATTTAAAAAGATCCAAATCCCCTCTATTACCCATTTCTTTTAATTCTCTTCAATACAATATTAAATAAGTGACATGTGTAAAATTCTGAATTTCAATGGACAAGACTTTTTTTCTTATGAGAAAATTCCTTAAAAATGATTAATACTCCACCAACAATAAAATGAATAAAAAAAATATTTCATTCATTGAAATTTAAAATATTATACATGCCACTCATTTAACATTGTATTAAACAGAATTTAAGGAAATAGGTAATGAAAGGAATCTAAACCCCATTTAAAAAAGCTTATCATGTTTGCTGAGAGATTGATAAGTTGCTTTTATTGGAAGCTCATTTTTTAATGCCCCTTGATAGAAGTCAGTGCTCCATGCTCATCTTTGAAATCAACTTTTATTTTGAGAAGTTATCCTAAACACAAGTCACTAAATTAGATTAATTTTTTAGATCTCGATATAACATTACTCTTTTTAAAAAAGTACCTAGGCTTTAAAACAAGTTATTGATATCCTGCTATGGTAAAACCTCCATCCATATATGCAAAAGCCAACACCAAGTCTGTTAAGAAATCTCCTTAATTCACTATTCCGCGTGACAGTTAAATCTAATGGCCTGTGACTCAAGTTCGCATGAATTAGTCCCATGGAGAGAGAGTGTATGAATATGTAGGCGGAGGAGATGAGTTTGTGTAAATGAGTCTATGGGTTATGTAACAATGAGGCATTTTTGAAAGGGATCAGACTGCTCTTAGAAACATAAAACATGAAATTGCAACGACATTCCCGCATATTAATCCACTGCATTTTCGAGGGATATACATTTGTCTGATGCAAAATCGCCACTTTGGCGTGTTGACACNCAGTTAAATCTAATGGCCTGTGACTCAAGTTCGCATGAATTAGTCCCTTGGAGAGAGAGTGTATGAATATGTAGGCGGAGGAGATGAGTTTGTGTAAATGAGTCTATGGGTCATGTAACAATGAGGCATTTTTGAAAGGGATCAGACTGCTCTTAGAAACATAAAACATGAAATTGCAACGACATTCCCGCATATTAATCCACTGCATTTTCGAGGGATATACATTTGTCTGATGCAAAATCGCCACTTTGGCGTGTTGACACACGGATTGCTTATGCCAGCCAGAAAATATAACAATAGCAGATTAGTATTACAAACAATGAACGTCATCTTACCAACACCAAACACATCATCTTATCTTCCCAGAACAGTTGAAACCAAGATAATTAAAAGGCTCACAAAAAATGGGAAAGAAAAGGAGAAAAAAACAATACAACAAAAAAAATTAATAATAATAGAACTCACCCGAAAGAGCACCTTTGTTGAACAGTTGATCCCACTGCATGCTTTTCTACACTCTGCAAAGGCAAGAAAAAACCATCCACTAAAAACAAAATATGTCTAGCATTTAGCCCAGCAAAAAGGAGCAGCATGCATATCAGTCATCTCCATCTTCATCGTCAAGCCTGTGCTCACTGAAATGGTTAACCTTGAACTTCCATTCTCCTTTGATGGGGTCATAAGACACAAACTCAGCACCTTGATCCTCGGCATTTCTTTTGAGCAGCTCTTTGTACTTATCAATTCTTGGTCCCTCTGTATAGTGATGTCCAGTCTTTTTATCAAAACATTTTATGTTAGAAGCACCACCTCAGCAGGCTTGTTAAGACCTTGTCCAAAAGGAGGCTTCTTGTTCTCGTCCACATACACAATCACCTCCCGGTTGTTAAACTGGATGAGAGACTCAAGATCAAGTCGCCTCACATCCGTCTCCCCAATGAACTTGATGCTACCATAACCGTGCCGTCCAACCACAAAATCCTTCACACGGCGGCAAAACCCTTGTTCAGCCCTTTCCTTTGCCGCCAGTTCTTGGATTCTAGGTTCTGTATAATAGTCAGAGTGGCTGAGTTTTGGCATCAGTGCCTCAATGTCAGCCCCATGCTCATAAACAATTGCCGCCTCACCAGCACGGTGGCCAGTAACAGTAATGTACGNGTCTGAGTTTTGGCATCAGTGCCTCAATGTCAGCCCTATGCTCATAAACAATTGCCGCCTCACCAGCACGGTGGCCAGTAACAGTAATGTACGAATCCCCTTTCTGGATAGAATGATCATCATGGAGTCCATTAGGTTTTGGGTTTGCATTAACAGGATGAAGTCCTTCTTTGACAAGGCCATTTTCAACTGGACCATCTGCAAGAACAGCTCAATTACAAGTCAAATAAAGCACATTAATGCCATACCAAGTTCATACTGGTGGCACCTGTCAGAGTTGAGGTAAATTCAATTTGCTGCCAGGTTTAATTTAATGAAGTTTAGTTCAATCAAATGCACAATTAGCCATAACTTTACAGCATGCTACTTTATCAGCTAAGAACATTTTCTTGCTCATGTTATCTTTTAACAAATAACATTATAAAGCGCATATTTTGTTTTTCTGATCAATTTTCACGGCTACTATAATTTAAATAATTCGTGCATATCCACTGAAACACTACCAGAATCAAAAAGTGGGTATATGTTGTTAGCCATGGCAGCAAAAAAGCTCTGCTGGACCACAAGGACATTGGTATTGAACACAAAAGTCTTAGTAAGTGCTGAATCCAGAGATTCTCATCACAACCTCCCTTAAGTTGACTTGTAATTGTTAGCACCCTGCAAAACCTACACCGTAACAGTCCAAAATCTGAACTCACCAATCCAACACAAGCATACAAGGCATCAAGCTGGTCTATTTTGGCCACGCTAGCCTGCTTGGGATTTCAATGCCAACACAATTCAAAGCTAACATATTGCCGCCCTAACCTTTGCACATCTCAATCCATTCTGAAGCGGAACAACTGAGCCAAAAGTCAGTCTCTGCATGTTCAGTCTAATTTGAATTGACAGCTACTTAGAGTCCCTATCGCAGAAAAAATTCACCCTTTAAAGCCCACTTCTCCCAAAATAAAGGAAGAAGAAATGGAAAAAAGAACTGTTAACTTTTAAAAAATAAAGAATTTTTGGGTAATAACCTTACAAATAATCAAACAGCAGATGAAATTTTTAAGGAATGTCAGTAATTGAAGAGATTAACTAGACAGGCTAAGGAGGACACTGATAACAGCAAAATTTCTCGTTAAGAGCACAGACTTACTATCTTTATCCTCTGCACTTGATCCATACAAATTAGGGGTAGAAGCTGCTTCAGACCTTTTACCTACATATAAAGAACAGTGTTAAAAGATTCAGCAAATTGACATTGAAGCCTATATCTTAGATGGAAAAATAATAAACGATCGATTCATGAAGTGACTATCTTATTTGTATGGAGGGGAATAGGACAAATAATATGCTTCAGGTCCAGTATAAATGAATCAATACGCCAACATAAAATGCCAGTATTTCTCACTATAATCAAAAAAGTCCATACGGCAATATAAGGTGAAGATAACACCATGAAGCATATAATCAAGCTATTGACCATGAAACTTATCATTCATTTAGTTGGCCAAGAAACTTATATAATCAAGCTATTGACCATGATCAAGTAACACTAGGTGCCCCTTCAAACAAATCTTTTACAAAAAAGACGAGCTTGCAAGATATCTAATTTCTTACTACCAGGATAACTCCTTGTCCCAGGCCTAGGCCCCTACAATTAATCGGGTATGTTCTCTATTGTTTCTAACCCAAAGTCCACATACCCAAGTATACCAGGTACAAAATAGAAGAACAAAGTTACCATTCCAATGAGGTGGAGTGGATGTATCCTTTGGAGGTGATGTTTTGTCTGGATTTGCTCTAGACGGCCACTGTTCCAAGGGGCGAATTACCAAATCTCTTGGATTCTCCCAGGCAACATAAAGAGCATCCGCCTTAGGTGCACTGGGTGTCTCTTCATCATCGCTAAAAAATGGTACCTGCATACAAAAGCACCAACTAATGCATTTATTATCGTAAGTATCAATCTCCTGCCTATTAGCCCTGATTGATTGATACCCAATAGAAAGCCCATTAGGGACCAAACTATTATAGGTTTGAATTATGGTACTAAGTTTCTCTAGAAAAACCATCTTTACCTTTGGACCATCATTTTTAGGTTGATATTTCCTTACGGGCAACCTAATCTGCCTTTGAGAAAGGTGCCGAGAAGTCAACAATGACGATATCCTAACAGGAGCAGGTTTGTCAACCACCTGTTTGGAAAATGATGTCAGTCACCACGTGCACATTGCAGAAAGAACATCTCCCTAAGTTGTCCGTGAAAACTGAGTGCTAAGGCAAAGTAAAAGCCACCACAAACAGATATCAGGAATGAAAACAATTTTACTGCAGCTCATTGTCATATCATCATCCAATTATAAACCAAACATAGATCAGAACAGGTACGAAATTTTTTCTTTTACGTATGGCACTATATATCATTCTTACAGGCAAACTAGAAATTCCATATTGAATTGAAGGTGACATCCCTGTGCGACCAATTGACATATGAGGCATCACTGGTAGAGTTCCAAAAGGATTCGTAACAGGGGCTGGTTGTGCAACAGCAGAGCTCTGACTGGCAGACCTGTCAGAACATTAGAACTTCTTTATCTGATTTACAGCACATCTTCAACACTACGTACATATGTCAAAGCCTTTTCCGAATGACCAAGAGTGTTCATTGATAGAACAAATGTTGACACTGAAACATACAATCGTCCAAAAGTATTCTGACCAAAGATGCTTGGCGTGCCACCAAGGCCGCTTGTACCAGCTGTTAGACAAGGGAAATTTAATTAACAATATAACAAATAAAATGTCAAAAGGTATATCGAAAATGAAGAAAGATTATATAAAACGCACTTACCTGCCTGCATCTGTCCAAAGTTGCTAAAGCCAAACGCACCTGTACTCTGAGAGGGTTGAGAAACTTGAAAGGGTGTTGAAATGGAGGGCTTCAGATACAAATGACGAATGAAATTAGAACCTATCAGACACTAGAAAAGAAAATTCTTGAAAATGATTAGACAAGTTGTCAAACTAAGATAATTTTTGAGATAAGATCAACAATGAGATACCTATGACAATCCATGGCTTCATGATATAATTTCCATCACTTATTGAGCTTGTGCAGCCTCTATTCACAAAAACATAATGCCATACATAGTAGGGGTTCATGTTAAATTTACCATCTATATATGCATTGCAGGTTCAATTCCTAATAAAGGGGTCACCCGTACAATGGTGTGTCCACTAACATAAAGTCCATTTTTGCAATTGCAACCAGACGGTTCCTTCCCACTTTTTATTCTCTGTTTCTTTATGTGATTTCTTGTAATTGCAGCCAGTGAGTAGGATATGCTTTTATCCACTGGCATCTAGTGTCTTTGCCACATGCCAATCCATCAACACTCAAGAATGCTAGACCAATTCTGCCACATGTCAAACACACAGGGTTGGAGTCACCAAAACCATTTTTCTTGCCATAATAGTTGAAAATACAACCAAATTCACATAACCAAACATTTTGCTTTGCTAGATCCGGTCCCCTGGTATCAAGAGCTTCCTAGTTTCCAACACTAACAAGTACAGGTGTGATATTGTTAATAAGAAATTGCAATATATGTAACATAATTGAAGTCTCTCCTGACATACCTTGTGCATTTTATCAATCTCAACTAAGCTAGAAAAGGCCTGGTCCTAACTATTTTTGGTCTACCCTGCCGTTCAACTTTGTGCCTTTTCTCGATTGAAAATTTACTGAAAAGGCAGCACCAAAAAAATGATAATTAACTTTCGGTTGTTTGACCAAATCCTGATGGGTTGCTTGTAGATAGCAGAGATGGAGTGCTTGAAAACAAATTCCCTCCAAATGCAGTAGAAGGTGTACTAAATATACTTGATTGCCCAAACGCTGGAGTACTCTGTCCAAAGGAGGAGGTAGTCTGTCCAAAAGCAGGAGTTGCCAGTCCCAGTGAAGGTGCACTTGACTGGAACAGTGGGGATGACTGAGTGTTGCCAAAACTTAAGCCAGAACCAAATGATGGAGTTGTTCCCTGAACTGATGAAGAACCAAAAACAGATGTTGATGATCCAAAAGCAGATAACCTTGATGATCCAAAAGGAGATGGGGAGGTACTGGCTCCAAATACAGGAGTTGAACCAAATATGGATAGTGTTGCTGATGAAGTTGACCCAAAAGGGTTAGATGTCGATGATGTCCCAAAGGGTGAAGAACCAAATGCAAGAGTAGATGTGGATCCCAAGCCGGAACTGCCAAAGGCTGGGGTTTTTGGCCCTCCCGAAATCAGATTAAAAATATTATTTAACATGGCAGGCAATGAGGTGTGTATCAGTTCGAGATTTCTACAAACATTTAGTAAAGCACCTTTATCACCCAATTTATAGTCCTCCCATCTGAGTTCTTCATGGATTTTATCCTTATAAACAGGCATAGCTGCTATTGACACCAGCTTTCCAGCAGGCTGTGTAACTGTTGTGCTATCTAACTCAGGTGTTGGCGTGTAGGGAGCCACTCTACTTCCCCCTCGATGGCCTCCAAAAGTTGACTGTCCAAAACCTGTAAACCCCGGATAAATTTGAATTTTTATGAAAAATGTCAAAACAGTAATTTATCACTACGGTACGGGTTGAAAACTCAAATTTTTCTAGAACTCGGATGACAAAACGGACCTCACTGTTGGATTCGTTTAGCGAAATCTAGTTACCCAGTCAATTTTCGTCGAATTCCGAAACAGTCGGATTTTTTACGTTTTACAAGGCGATCGGATGTCGTGTACCCTAAAAACGAGATATGGAATAAATTTTCAAAAGTCAAAACATAATTTAAAGGAAGTTCATATAAAAATATTTGAACTTGCACCGGGACGGGGACGAAATTTAATCTTTTCTGAAATAAATCGGACCCAAGAATGGAGAACGTGTGGTGCAATGAGGACCAAGCATTTAAAGAATATAAATAGAGNTATTGAGGATGAAAAGGGATTCACAGATATCTGACCAAATGTTGCCGACGAAGCAAATGGACTTGACTGTGTGCTCGAAGCGCTAAATCCAATTGCGCCAGCAGACTGACCAGCAGGACTTGGCCCTCCCGAAATCAGATTAAAAATATTATTTAACATGGCAGGCAATGAGGTGTGTATCAGTTCGAGATTTCTACAAACATTTAGTAAAGCACCTTTATCACCCAATTTATAGTCCTCCCATCTGAGTTCTTCATGGATTTTATCCTTATAAACAGGCATAGCTGCTATTGACACCAGCTTTCCAGCAGGCTGTGTAACTGTTGTGCTATCTAACTCAGGTGTTGGCGTGTAGGGAGCCACTCTACTTCCCCCTCGATGGCCTCCAAAAGTTGACTGTCCAAAACCTGTAAACCCCGGATAAATTTGAATTTTTATGAAAAATGTCAAAACAGTAATTTATCACTACGGTACGGGTTGAAAACTCAAATTTTTCTAGAACTCGGATGACAAAACGGACCTCACTGTTGGATTCGTTTAGCGAAATCTAGTTACCCAGTCAATTTTCGTCGAATTCCGAAACAGTCGGATTTTTTACGTTTTACAAAGCGATCGGATGTCGTGTACCCTAAAAACGAGATATGGAATAAATTTTCAAAAGTCAAAACATAATTTAAAGGAAATTCATATAAAAATATTTGAACTTGCACCGGGACGGGGACGAAATTTAATCTTTTCTGAAATAAATCGGACCCGAGAATGGAGAACGTGTGGTGCAATGAGGACCAAGCATTTAAAGAATATAAATAGAGAAGATACATCAGATTTCTCCCCATACTCATCAGATTTTTCAGAAAATCAAAAGAAGAAAGGGAAACTCTACTTTCTCTCTACGATCTACGCCTCCACGTTACTCAAATCAAGAGGTAAGATTTTTTTCCTAATTAATTTATTTTCAACCTAGGGTTCCATATGATATGGGTAGCATGATTTGAAATGAATTCTCTTATTTAATGTACTCCTAGTGTGAAAAATGAGTATAAAAATATGTTAAACCAATTTTGAATAAATTGAGTTTGTAAAATTTACTTGTTTGGTAAATTCATAAAAAATATAAATACTTGAAATGTAGAAAATGGGTATTAAGAATGATTAAAATCAATTCTAGCATGAATTGGATATGTAGAAATTACTTATTGTGATTTCTTGAGAAATGTAATTATTTGGGCATAATATGAGTTACATAATTTTGTGCCTTGAAGGTGTTTCATAAAATGGCTATTTGGATTAACATGCTTGGAATATATATGAAAAGGGTAAAGTGTTAGAGATGTAATCTCATGTTTAGCACTTACCTATGATACTTGAAATGTGAAGAATGCATATTAAAAATAGTTAAAATCAATTCTAGCATAAATTGGGTATGTAGAAATTACTTCTTGTGATTTCTTAAAATATGATGAAATTTCGCATATTATGTATTTACATGATTTGGTATCTTAAAAGTGTTTGATTAAATGTCTATGTGGATTAAGTGCGTTATTTGCATTGATTATGATATAACATGTTTAAAATTTGATGTTGAGAAATGTTGATATATGAATATGATATATTGACATTGAGGTTGTTTACGTTAGTTATATGCTTATGATGTAATTTACCATAAAAAAAAGTTGTTGGATATTGAATTGTTCATAATGTGCTCATGATATATTGAACATGATATTGTAATTGTAATTGAGATCCTAGTTGCATAATGACATGAAATGTAATTATACATTTATATTGCATATGCACAGAAAGCATCACATTTGTGGGCATTTGACATAAGTGTGGGTGTATGTGTATGGTTTGATCAAATATTATTCTTGGTGAATGATACGTGGTCTCGGGATAGTTGGACCGAGGTTTAATTGAATCGCACGGTTTGCATTGAAAATAGAGTCAGAGGTAGCAAGAAAGGCTAGATTCTCCCTCGAGTCCAAGACTCAGTAATTCGGATACGCACTCCGTTGGTATTGAGTCCATAAAATGTATCGGGGTACGCAGAGCCGTTGGTGAAAATTCATTAATGTCGTGTCGGTTGGATGCCCGTTGATGTGAGTCCATAAATACCCACCCCAAAAAAAGACTCGGGATTTAAAAAGGTCATTAGATGTGTAACATCAATAACGGAGGCTTGGAATGCCCAGATTCATATGAATAGCATTGCATGTGTTGAGAGAGCCAGTAAAGATTCGGGTTGAGTTGCATGTGTAAGTCTTATCTCACATCATGACATAGCATTGAAGATTCAATTATTAAATTGCATATTCTTGAATAGAGTGATTGTTGTTTGTAAATTGCATGTAAACATTTCATATACATCTATGTTGAGAAGTAACCTCTTTAGTCCAGGACATGCATCGGTGGACGACTCTCATTCGGACTCTCATTGATGAAGAAAAATCGAAATGTGATTTTTAAACTATGCTTTTGTAAAACTAAGATGTCAATTAATTTTTGGACATTTAATGTATGTAAAGAATTGTAATCGAATTCTTATGAACTATTTTAATATAAAATTGCATGTTGTTATATAAGTATGGATAAATGGACTCGATGTGATTAATGTTGTATGATTGCACAGGTTGTATTTTGAGTAGAGCTTCCCGTATAAAGGAGACTCTGTCCGAATTTTGTTAAGTTATGGATCCCGGTAAATGAGACATAATTGTGTGATATCGAATTACAAAGTATCTACGGGTATTTCACAGGTTGATAGGTGATCAACGAGGTAATTACGGACACCCAGATTATGGGGCATCACAGCAAAAGGGTTGGAAGATATTGAGGATGAAAAGGGATTCACAGATATCTGACCAAATGTTGACAACGAAGCAAATGGACTTNGAAAGGCTAGATTCTCCCTCGAGTCCAAGACTCAGTAATTCGGATACGCACTCCGTTGGTATTGAGTCCATAAAATGTATCGGGGTACGCAGAGCCGTTGGTAAAAATTCATTAATGTCGTGTCGGTTGGATGCCCGTTGATGTGAGTCCATAAATACCCACTCCAAAAAAAGACTCGGGATTTAAACAGGTCATTAGATGTGTAACATCAATAACGGAGGCTTGGAATGCCCAGATTCATATGAATAGCATTGCATGTGTTGAGAGAGCCAGTAAAGATTCGGGTTGAGTTGCATGTGTAAGTCTTATCTCACATCATGACATAGCATTGAAGATTCAATTATTAAATTGCATATTCTTGAATAGAGTGATTGTTGTTTGTAAATTGCATGTAAACATTTCATATACATCTATGTTGAGAAGTAACCTCTTTAGTCCAGGACATGCATCGGTGGACGACTCTCATTCGGACTCTCATTGATGAAGAAAAATCGAAATGTGATTTTTAAACTATGCTTTTGTAAAACTAAGATGTCAATTAATTTTTGGACATTTAATGTATGTAAAGAATTGTAATCGAATTCTTATGAACTATTTTAATATAAAATTGCATGTTGTTATATAAGTATGGATAAATGGACTCGATGTGATTAATGTTGTATGATTGCACAGGTTGTATTTTGAGTAGAGCTTCCCGTATAAAGGAGACTCTGTCCGAATTTTGTTAAGTTATGGATCCCGGTAAATGAGACATAATTGTGTGATATCGAATTACAAAGTATCTACGGGTATTTCACAGGTTGATAGGTGATCAACGAGGTAATTACGGACACCCAGATTATGGGGCATCACAGCAAAAGGGTTGGAAGATATTGAGGATGAAAAGGGATTCACAGATATCTGACCAAATGTTGAAAACGAAGCAAATGGACTTGACTGTGTGCTAGAAGCGCTAAATCCAATTGCGCCAGCAGATTGACCAGCAGGACTTGGCCCTCCTAAAATCAGATTAAAAATATTATAATTGACACGGCAGGCAATGAGGTGTGTATCAGTTCAAGATTTCTACAAACATTTAGTAAAGCACCTTTATCACCCAATTGATAGTCTTCCCATCTGAGTTCTTCATGGCTTTTATCCTTGTAAACAGGCATAGCCGCAATTGACTCCAGCTTTCCAGCAGGCTGTGTACCTGTGCCACTATCTAACTCGGGTGTTGGCGTGTAGGGAGCCACTCTACTTCCCCCTCGATGGCCTCCAAAAGCTGACTGTCCAAAACCAGAGCTCCCATATGTTGGTGTTGTAGCCTGGGCTCCTGCAAGACAGTTTACAAGGGCATAAATTCAGTAAAAGCAGTAGAAATAAACAATGACCAATAGGGTGGCCAAATTCCTCATGGTTTATTAACTTGCAGAATTGAAACCTTCAGTACACTGATAAATCACTCACCAAATGGAGCACTCTGAGCTCCAAAGGGCGATGTAGTTGTACCAAATGGACTGCTTCCAAATGCAGAAGTTGATTGGCCAAATGCTGGAGTGGACCCAAAACTAAATGAAGGAGTACTCAAACCACCAAAAGCTGAAGTAGTTGAGGCACCAAATGCCGGAGTGCTTGAGGCACCAAATGCTGGAGTGCTTGATGATCCAAATACAGAAGTACTAGAGGCACCAAATGCTGGAGTGCTTGATCCAAATACTGGGGAACTAGATTCAGAAAATGTAGTGCTGGTTGCACCAAATGCAGGGGTTGCAGTAGAACCAAAGGCTGGGGTGTTTGTGGCACCAAAGGCAGGTGCGCTTGTGCCACCAAAAGCTGAAGTAGTTGAGGCACCAAATGCCGGAGTGCTTGAGGCACCAAATGCTGGAGTGCTTGATGATCCAAATACAGAAGTACTAGAGGCACCAAATGTTGGAGTGCTTGATCCAAATACTGGGGAACTAGATACAGAAAATGTAGTGCTGGTTGCACCAAATGCTGGGGTTGCTGTAGAAGCAAAGGCTGGGGTGTTTGTGGCACCAAAGGCAGGTGCGCTTGTGCCACCAAAGGCCGACGAGCTTGATGAACCAAAGGCAGGAGTACTTGAAGCAACAAAAGTAGGTTGACTAGGTGCACCAAAAGGAGTAGAAGAACCTGTATTTTTATGATAAACAAACAAAAAGAGACGTGAGTTCAAAGTAAGAAATTAAGAATAAGTTGGATAGAGATTAAGAAAATGCAACAGAGACGACATAAATGAAATCAGAAGGAAAATACCACATGAATGAACAGCATGTAATATGATATCGGCATTGCAACCTCAATAGAAAAGGGATTCAATCAAGGAGTCAAAGAGACTCCATGAGCAAGCATCAACCAACCACGAGTACCTGTTAAAAGTGATTTCTTGTTTGGATAGTTTTAGCATGTTCTGTAATTTAATTAAAAAAACCATTTCCATGTTTCCTTTTTCCAAAGACAGCTTTGACTTTCTAACGTTGTAAATTTGAAGATGAATAACTCAACTTCAAGGATCGTTATACCCTTTTCTCAAAAGGATTTTGAGTGTGAAATAATATCAAGGAAAATGAAAACACAAAAAAGCTAAAAGCAAATCCAAATGCAGCCTTTTTTTTGAAGCTCTTGGCTTCCACGCATGGGTGCAGCAGCGAGAGATTTCCTAGACCAGCTGATTTCAATTAATTGATTAGGTTACGGTTAGTTCTAATATTGGGTGTACATGCAAGAAAGTGTAAGGTAATGAGGTGTTTTGTGGCATGCCTTTACTTTCTCTTCACTAGGTCTGAGCACTGCCAACAATGGTACCACCAGCTACCTTTGGGAAGATGTAATCCACCGTCAGCTTTATGTTGTGGGTGTCTTGTATTCCACTCTAACTGGCTTGAAAGTTGTTCTCCCTAGGGATTTTGAACGGAGGAATTCCAAGAAATTCCAATTCAAGAAAAAGACCAATTAGAAACTCTATTTATTAGGAAACAAGGTGTTTTGGGTTTATAAAATGTATTTATAGACCACTTAGTTTCTCTTATGGATTTTGGCCCCTAGTTTTGGGCATTCTTGGTTAGAGAACTTTGTGTATTCTCCCTTTTATTAATAGTGAAATTTTGTCGTCGTGCTTTGCCATGTATGTAAGCTTGTGTTTTGAGCAGAACCACGTAAATTTGTGTGTTCTGTTTTTCTTATTTTGCTCCGTTTATTATTTGTTTGTGGCTTTTGTTTATAACACTTTATCACAAACAGTTGCCTCTCTTCTGCCTCTAATGTTGCATTTAAAAGAGCAAATCCAAAGAGAATAGATGAAAAACATACGAAATGAAGCTTCCAAGCATTTGATCAAAGGAGATTCATAGTGCATATGCTGATATCATTTCTTTGAACCAAACAAAGTGTATGGATGGAAAGAAAAAGAAGAAAGAACGCAGTGTGTCATAAAAGAAAATTAAACGAAGATGACCATGCAAAAGAAATGTAGGCCCTTATTTTTGAATTTTTATATCCAACATGAAAATTTTGAGGACCCATTGATAGCATATGGAGTAGATATTCCACAAAAGAAGCACTTCACAATCCGACTAGTGTTTAAGATACCAAAACACTGAATAAAAACATCCGCAACTCCGGTTTTCTCCTTATAGATTCATATTAAATCCTAAAGGATACTAGAATACTTAAGCATGCCCAAAACATCTATAGACAGCATATTACACATAATTGTACCACATAAAAAAGAGGAAAGGGCAAATAGTTGTCAAACACTCCATAAATACACTTACCACTAAATGATGATGATGAACTACCAAAGGCATGAGTTTATGTTGCTTCAAAAACAGGCGTTGAACTTCCAAAAGCTGGGGTAGATGAAGCACCAAACACTGGGGTCGATGATAAAGGCGAAGAAGATTGGGTTGCACCAAACACGCCAGTAGAAATGTCACCAAAAATGGAACCCCCTGTTTGTGAACCAAAAGTGGATGTACTGCCGAAGGGTTTAGGAGCAAATGGATTGCCACTTGCATTGTTAGTCTACCCAAAAACTGATTGGGACCCAAAAGGGCTGAGGTGACTGTCCAAACGGGCTACTAGATGACTGCCCGAAGACTGTAAACAGTTCAACACTAATCAGTACCCAAAAAAAAGATCAGGTGAACAGACCAATAGTAACTATTTGCTGGTGAACTCCAAGTAACAGTACGTAGAAAACTTAAGGAAACAACAAATGCCAAAGACTAACAGGAGCCCTGTCAATATATACTAAACATTCATATATAAATGAAAGAGTAACACTGATAGCAGTACATTCTACCAAAAGCTCCTATCATATATTTCATGGCAAACAAACGAGACACCCAATGAAATGATTAGAAACAATCGTTACAAGGCAAGTCTCTGAGAAAACAAGCATTACAATGCAAACTCGCTTTCCAGTTTCTATAGTTGGAGTTAGTCAAAAAGATTCTATACGTGTAAACAATTAAGACAAAACATCAGCATGATTGAAAGACTTAAAGGGAAAGAAGCCAGAAGTAGCTGCAAACTTTACGGTTTCCCAATTCTTTGTGTAGGAACTAAAATCAATTATCTAACGCATACACAAAGCAAGGGGCATAAATGCCAACTTGCCCAAACAACTCATGGTCCTGAGAAAACTTGCAACTATCATTAACTGGCCAAAAATTCCTTTTCTAAAATAAACAGAAAAGGAAGAAAAGGCAAAAAAAAAAAACCAAGCAACAAAAGAAGGAAAAACAAAACATTGTTGAACAACCAGTAACCAATATATTTTTTTCGATTAGATAGTAATCAATATTCATCTATTTGCAAATAAAACAGTGTATAAGGCAAACATCCAGGACCATGTTTCACTAAAACAGGGAAACAAAAATCTCAAACAAACACCAAATACATTACTACAAAAACAAAAAGACCAACACCAAAGATAAAGAAAACACTTACGGTTGGTGGAGCCAAACATTATCTCTTGATGACTTCTATAAAGTCCAAAACCAGCAAAATGCTCCTGATCCCAAACGGAATTACAATCATACACAAAAATCAAATGAATGTTCTACAATAACTGTACAGCTTTGAATGGATAGTATAGATCATGTGAGCATAATTGAACTTCTTAACAACACCAAATAAAAACAAAAATCCACCTCAAATAACCTACAATTAAACTCCAAAATCGTTGTCAATTCACTTACAATAATGTGCATATAGACATGTAATATTTGTTACATTACGTAGTTACCAAGAGGAGTGTATAGGATTTGGAATTGTGCTGCTCACATTTAGGTCTCTAAACCTAGATCTCCGGACACTTCTAATTAAAATTAAGCATTAGACTTTAAATCATGAATGAATCTAGGGTTCCAAAGCCAACTGAATCAAAACTTGAAGTGTGTACGTATATCCATGCAGAGAGGGGGAGAGAGGGAGATGTTTCCAGTATTGCAGAAGAAATTATATACAGAGGATTGGGTAAGGGATAGGATTGTACCTGAGAGGGAGAGAAAAGAGGTAGACAGATTGCACCAAAGCTTGATCTGACAGTAGAGAAATGGTGGCGTAGTTCTCTAACCCGTTATGTTTGTATGAGAGAGGACCTGAGTATAAAGGTACGTGAATCGAAATTAGGGACGGCAGTAAACGGCGAAAATGAGTTAATCGTTCAAATTCGTTTCGTTTGAATTGCGATGGATTGTTGGCATCGGACAGTGAACGTACGGGATAAAGGCGGGGATCAACTTATCGTTATCCCCTCCTTATCCCGGCTACCCATTATATATATAAAAATTTATTATAAATTGTATCTTAAAAGATAGTTTGAATTTTAATTTCTATCATCAAAGATTAAAAATTTTAATTTGTATTTTCAAATATAAAAATTTGTATCAATTTATACCCTTAAAGATCAAAAATATTAATTTATACCCTCAAAGATAAAAGTTTATATCAATATGTACCCCAAAAATCAAAAATATCAATTTACACCCTCAAATATAGAAATTTATATTAATATGCACTTAAAACTAACTGTCATCAATTTACTGCCTGAAACTAAATTGATAAATTATACCTACATTCTTTTATACTTGTCACTTAATCATTTGGACCCCTTCACAAAATAAAAGGTAATATGAAATTATAATTATATTTAAGTGATATATTGCATTGGATATAAAAAATATTATATAAATACCTACATTCTATTAGACATTTAAATGGTAAGCTTAATTTTAAATTTTATATTATATCGGACCCACAAAATAAATGGCAATATAAAATTATAATTTTTTATTATGATAAAATCATATTTTTTTAATAGTTATATTAACAGATATCAACTAAAAAGAGTTATGTGTTACACGGGCACAAACGTCATGAGATGTAAGAGTAATATTCTAAATGTGAAGAGGTCCAAATAATTAAGTGACAAGTATGAGGGGATCTAAATATAATTTATCAATTTAATTTTAGACAGCAAACTGATAGCGGTTAGTTTTAGGTGCATATTTATACAAATTTATATCTTTAAGTGTGCAAATTAAGATTTTTGATCTTTGGGGGTGCACATTGATATAAATTTATATCTTTGAGAGTGCAAATTAAAATTTTTTATCTTTAGGGGTATAAATTGATAATCGAATGATCTTTTAGGATGTAATTTATAATTAACCCTATAAATAAATAAAAATACTCTCAAGCTCTAACTAAACATATTTACTGTAACTACTATTTTAAAAATATGGTAATCAAACTAAAAAGTGGCATTGCAATGTGGTAATCTTATCAACTTTTTTTCCTGATTGTTCTTTTTTCTATTTGTGCTCACCAATTGAAACTATTAAGAGTTTGGATTGATTGTGCTTTAAAAACATATAAGAGAGAGTAAGATCGTTTTACATTTTATCATGGGTAGAAATATTGTGAATGGAGATTGTTGAGTTTATCTGCTAGAGTGAACTAAGAAATGAAAAGAATTATTGAATTAGTGAAATTTTAAGTTTTTATATTTTAACATTTTATGACTGTAATATGAATTGTAATAACAAAAATTCTTCTAAGAAACTTCAAGTGTAGTGCTATTGTTTTTTTAGTTCTATTTTATTTTATTTTTCTTCATTTCTCTCTAATAGTTTCGTTTCTCTTTTTATAGTTTAATGACACTTTAAATAGAATACTATATTGTTTTGACTTTTACATTTTACAATTTACATTATGTTGTGTTAGACTACGTTAGAATGTTGTTGGATTATTTAAAATATTGAATTTATTTAAAATTTTGGATTATGCTACTTGGGCTTGGGTTTAGGTGGGTACAGGGATTAGAAATTTACCCACGGACGGAGATGGAGATGAAAACTATACCCATTAACAGGGGTGGACCGGAGATGGACGGAGTTTTTTTAAGCAGGTATGAGGATGCAGACTACACTCTCCGCCCCCGCTTCGATCCACTGACATCCCTAATCGAAATCACTTGCACGAGCAAAGATGACCAGTCTAACCCAGTTGCAAGCATCAGTTTTAAAAACCAGCATTAGTTTTAAAACCCAACCCAAGATCAATCCGAAGGAACGGGACCTATGGGCACCGATTCAATCAATAATATAATAAAAAAAATAAATAATTATAAATAATAATAAATAAGTATAATATAATTCAAATTTGAAAAGATAAATAAAATAACTTTTATTTTTTACGGTTAAAATTTTTTTNGGGTATAAATTGATAATCGAATGATCTTTTAGGATGTAATTTATAATTAACCCTATAAATAAATAAAAATACTCTCAAGCTCTAACTAAACATATTTACTGTAACTACTATTTTAAAAATATGGTAATCAAACTAAAAAGTGGCATTGCAATGTGGTAATCTTATCAACTTTTTTTCCTGATTGTTCTTTTTTCTATTTGTGCTCACCAATTGAAACTATTAAGAGTTTGGATTGATTGTGCTTTAAAAACATATAAGAGAGAGTAAGATCGTTTTACATTTTATCATGGGTAGAAATATTGTGAATGGAGATTGTTGAGTTTATCTGCTAGAGTGAACTAAGAAATGAAAAGAATTATTGAATTAGTGAAATTTTAAGTTTTTATATTTTAACATTTTATGACTGTAATATGAATTGTAATAACAAAAATTCTTCTAAGAAACTTCAAGTGTAGTGCTATTGTTTTTTTAGTTCTATTTTATTTTATTTTTCTTCATTTCTCTCTAATAGTTTCGTTTCTCTTTTTATAGTTTAATGACACTTTAAATAGAATACTATATTGTTTTGACTTTTACATTTTACAATTTACATTATGTTGTGTTAGACTACGTTAGAATGTTGTTGGATTATTTAAAATATTGAATTTATTTAAAATTTTGGATTATGCTACTTGGGCTTGGGTTTAGGTGGGTACAGGGATTAGAAATTTACCCACGGACGGAGATGGAGATGAAAACTATACCCATTAACAGGGGTGGACCGGAGATGGACGGAGTTTTTTTAAGCAGGTATGAGGATGCAGACTACACTCTCCGCCCCCGCTTCGATCCACTGACATCCCTAATCGAAATCACTTGCACGAGCAAAGATGACCAGTCTAACCCAGTTGCAAGCATCAGTTTTAAAAACCAGCATTAGTTTTAAAACCCAACCCAAGATCAATCCGAAGGAACGGGACCTATGGGCACCGATTCAATCAATAATATAATAAAAAAAATAAATAATTATAAATAATAATAAATAAGTATAATATAATTCAAATTTGAAAAGATAAATAAAATAACTTTTATTTTTTACGGTTAAAATTTTTTTAAATTTTACTTTAAAGTTAATTCAACGACTAATATTAACATCTCAAATTTAATAGAAAAAATAAGTATCTAAGGGGTATGTTTGGAATGATATTTTAAAAGTACTTATAAGACTTATAACTTCTCATAAGTACTTTAAATAAAAAAATTAGTGTTTAGAACCATTTCACCACCACTACCCCCACCACATCACCACTATCATCACCGCCACCACCTCACCACCCCAACTTACCCCCACCACCACCACTAGTACCACCACCATTNGTTCTAACTAAACATATTTACTGTAACTACTATTTTAGAAATATGGTAATCAAACTAAAAAGTGACATTGCTATGTGGTAATCTTATCAACTTTTTTTTCTGATTGTTCTTTTTTCTATTTGTGCTCACCAATTGAAACTATTAAGGGTTTGGATTGATTATGCTTTAAAAACATATAAGAGAGAGTAAGATCGTTTTACATTTTATCATGGGTAGAAATATTGTGAATGGAGATTGTTGAGTTTATCTGCTAGAGTGAACTAAGAAATGAAAAGAATTATTGAATTAGTGAAATTTTAAGTTTTTATATTTTAACATTTTATGACTGTAATATGAATTGTAATAACAAAAATTCTTCTAAGAAACTTCAAGTGTAGTGCTATTGTTTTTTTAGTTCAATTTTATTTTATTTTTCTTCATTTCTCTCTAATAGTTTCGTTTCTCTTTTTATAGTTTAATGACACTTTAAATAGAATACTATATTGTTTTGACTTTTACATTTTACAATTTACATTATGTTGTGTTAGACTACGTTAGAATGTTGTTGGATTATTTAAAATATTGAATTTATTTAAAATTTTGGATTATGCTACTTGGGCTTGGGTTTAGGTGGGTACAGGGATTAGAAATTTACCCACGGACGGAGATGGAGATGAAAACTATACCCATTAACAGGGGTGGACCGGAGATGGACGGAGTTTTTTTAAGCAGGTATGAGGATGCAGACTACACTCTCCGCCCCCGCTTCAATCCACTGACATCCCTAATCGAAATCACTTGCACGAGCAAAGATGACCAGTCTAACCCAGTTGCAAGCATCAGTTTTAAAAACCAGCATTAGTTTTAAAACCCAACCCAAGATCAATCCGAAGGAACGGGACCTATGGGCACCGATTCAATCAATAATATAATAAAAAAAATAAATAATTATAAATAATAATAAATAAGTATAATATAATTCAAAT